TGGGTTGGCTGATCTGGGGTCAGGCCATGGGGGGAGGGGCTGAAAAAATAGAATGCACACAGAACCATACCCAGAAAACTGTCAAACCACTCTCACTTATTAAAAAAAAAGTTCTTTATTTTATAAATAAAATCCAAATGCATATTTAAAGAATAATTAATACTAAGGAAATAGAGTTTATGAATCTACATTTAGGGAAGTTATAATTAGGAAAATTGTCAAAAACAATGTAACAGATTAAATTAGAAATATATACCGTATTTTCCAGCGTATAAGACGACTTTTTATCCATTTATCTATCAATGTATGGTATATTACGGTATGTTCGAAAAATGTCATTCATTAAAAATTTAATTAAAAAAAGAACTGGTGTTGCCTCGGAAGTGGGGGGTAGTCTTATACAGTGAATATAGGCCTAAACCTATGTTTTAACGGTAAAATTAGGGGGTCGTCTTATATGCTGGAAAATACGGTAACATGAGATTTCAATACATATTTAAAGCATTTGCTAAATTCTAACACAAATTTCTTTTCTATCTTAAATTTAAAAAATTTATTGGGGTGACATTGGTTAATTATATAGGTTTCAAGTGTACAATTCTAAAATACATAATCTGTGTATTATATTACATGTTTACCTCTCAAAGTCGTCTCCTTCTGTCATCACTTATCCCCCTTTTATCTTCTTCTACTTTCTCCACCCCCTTTCTCTCTGGTAATCTGTGTCTGTGAGTTTTTGGGGTTTTGTTTTGTTTTGTTTTATTTTCTTAATTCTTTCAGTTTTCTCACTTAACCCCACATCTTGTCTCCCCTCTGACACCTGTCAGTGTGTTCTCTGTATCTATGAGTCTGTTAACACCAATTTCTTATTTAAAAACAAAACAAACTTCTTTAAAAGCAGGAATGTAAGGATGTTTCTTTAATGATAAGAACGCCTACCTGGAACCCATAGCAAATATTATAAATAATAAAATTATAGAAATTTTTCCAATAAAATCAGGAGTGAAACACAAATATGTGTGGAATATCTCTGGAAGTTTGCTCAATTCATTGAGACCCAGAACAAAACATAAGCATTGGAAAAGAAGAGATAAAATAATATCTTCTTTTACACTTAGAACAATAAAAAAAAGAATGCAAAGCTGTTAGAGTTACTCAGAGCTCATTTGTTGAATATAAGGTAAATATATTTAAATTGATACATTTATATAAAAATAATATTAAAATGAATAAAATGAAATGAAAAACAAAATTTATTTTTCAGAGCAAAAACCAAAAATAAAAATAACACCACTTCAAAACCTGCAAATAACTTCAATGAGCAATGTTCTGTATAAATAAATAAAATCACACAACTTTTAAAAGTTTAAAATAAAACTTGATTAACTATAGATGTATGCCAAGATTTTGACTGAAAAATGAAATATAGTTGATACATCAATTCTTCTTAAATTAATTTAAATACATTTTCATTGATTTCAGAGAGGAATGGAGAGGGAAAGAGATATAGAAACACCAATGATGAGATTCATTGATTGGCTGCCTCCTGCACACTCCCTACAGGCGATCAACCCAAGCATGTGCCCTTGACCAGAAACGAACTTGAGACCCTTTAGTCTGCAGGCCAATGCTCTACCCACTGAGCAAAACTGGCCAGAGCTCCTTAAATTAATTTAGAAATGTAATGCAATTCCAATCTATATGACAATGTAAGTTTTTCTTACAAACTTATTCTAAGGTTAGTTTTAAGTTATAAACACTAGAATAATAAATCACAACTTTAAACCTACTGATAAAACATGACATTACAAATATATTAGTAGAGAACAGGTTTTTCATAAGAAGCTATTATAGAATTAAGGTTGTCACAAATTTATGTATAAAAAAAGAATGTTGAGATATCTGGTTACCCTCTTGAAAAAAGCTTCAATTTAGAGACCTAAAAGATACATTAAAATTAGGTCAAGATAGGTTCAAAAGCTATATTTAAAAATACTGACTAGATAAACTAGGGGGAAAAGATGACTACTGAGCAAATGGTGAAAGCATTCAAAAGGAACATGTTGGTAATCTTGAATATGGAGGCTGGCAGGATGGAGGGGAGGGAGAGGAAGTGAGTGAGTGAGGTTATCAAAGGAGAGTGTGTCTATGAGTGAGTAAGGGACAGTTAAATCCCTGTAGGAGCAGCAGGGACTGGCAGATCAGGCTCTCTTGGACAAGGGGAGACTACCACCACTGCAGGCACTCCCCAGACTGTGGGACTCCAGTAAGGAACCCAAGCCATCTTGAAGGATAGAATGGCCTTTTTTTAGGAACTCATCAGCACCATCAAACAGATAGGCCTTGGAACTGCCCCATGACCCAGCAGCCACTCCAGCCAAAACCTGATTGGATTTTGTGACTACAATCAGCCCTTAATTTTTGTGTGTGTTGCAAAGAAAGAACTAAATGGATACCTTACAAATAAATGCAGGAGATTAAAGTTAGGTAACATTTAGGCCTATATATTCTCAAATGGCTAACTAAAGAACATAAAAAATAGAAGATGTTAATAGATTCTTTAAAGGCCAGATGACTAAAAATAACAAAGTTAAAAAGTAGCTAAAGCATACATTTTTAAAATGTCTCTCTCTCTCTCTCTCTCTCTCTCTCTCTCTCTCTCTCTCTCTCTCTCTCTTCTTTTTTACTATATTTTTTATTATGGTAAAATATTTGTAACATAAAATTTGCCATTTTGACCATGTTTAAGTAGATAACTCAGTGATATTAATTACATTATTTAACCATCACTGCTATCTATTTCCAGTAGTTTACATCACCCCAAACACAAATTCTGTACCCATTAAGCAATAAATTCCCATTCTCCATCCCCTTAGTAAACTTGGTAAACTCAAATCTACTTTTGCTTCTATGCATATGTTAGATATTTCATATAAGTGGAATCATATAATATTTGTCTTTTTATGCCTGGCTTCTTTCACTTGGCATAATGTTTTCAAGGTTCATCTATGTTGTAGATTTGGCAGAATTTCATTTCTTTCTATGGCTAAAGAACATTCCATTGTTTTATATATACATCACGTTTTGTTTTTCTACTCATCTGTTGATGGACACTGGGTTGTTTCCACTTTTTGGCTATTATAAATAATGGTGCAATGAATCCTGGCATGTAAGTATCAGTTTGACTCCCTGTTTCTTAATTCTTTTGGGTACATACCTAGAAGTGCAATTGCTGTGTTATATGGTAAGTTTATGTTTAACTTTTTGAAGAACTACCAAAGTGTTTTCCACAGTGGCTGCACCATTTTACATTCTTATCAGCAAATGGACAAAAGTTTCAATTTTTCCACATCCTCCCCAATGCTAATTATTTTCCAATTTTTAAAAAATTATAGTGATCTTTTAGGTGTGAAATGGCATCTCATTGTGACTTGTTTTACACCCCTCTCCCTTCCTATCACCCCTTCTTATAGCTAATTATGTTGAGCATCTTTTCATGTATTTAATGACTGTTTGCATATCTTCTTTAGATAAATGTTTATTTTCAAGTCCTTTGCTCATTTGAAAATTAGATTGATTGTCTTTTTGTTGTTGCATTATAGAATATTTATATATTGCATATTTAATTCTTATCAGATATATGATGCAAATAATTTCTCCCATTTTCTGGGTTGTCCTTTCACTCTCTTAATAGTATCCTTTTAACTTTTCTTCCAATGATGAAATAAATACATGCTTGATTAAAAATATTGGCTAGTACTAAAGAATTCCAGAAAGTATAAAGAATAAAAAAAAAGGCACTCATAGTTCCAACTGAAAGTTAACTATGTTTTATATTTATGCATATTTTTTGTCACTTAAATTTTTTTATGAGTTTATTTCAGGCAAACTAAGAACATAAGACAGGGAGCAAGATCTCAAATGCTCCTCTCCATCACTTTTTGTTACTGTTTTTAATCCTCACATGAAGGTATTTTTCCATTGACTTTAGAGAGAGTGGAAGATAGAGGAAAGACGGAGAGAAACATGAACCAGGCCCCAGTCTGGGCCTGGGAGGAGCTTGTAATCCAGTAACGTGCCTTTGACCAGAATTGAACTGAATCCCTTTGGTTCGCAGTCCGATTCTCTATATACTGAACCAAACCAGCCAGGGCCCCTCCATCACTCTTGATATTACATTTACTTTATTATTTAAATGAATATGTATCTATACTTTTATATATTTTTTAACTTACCATATAATAACCATGTTATTAAGTCACTAAAAAATCTGTAAACACACTTTTAATGGCTACATATATTTATTATATGTATATACTGTAAATCATTTAAACATCCCCTATGTTGAAAACATTCCCAATATTTTTCTATTAATAATAATGCTGAAATTAATATCTTCTCACCTAATGAAATTGTAGAAGTAGAATAATAGAATAAAGGGCTTGAAGCAGTCCCTTGCTTAAAGCAGTTTTTGCTAAAATCCAAAGATCCCTGGGATGGTTATTGTGCCTTAGGCATCTGCACATGCATTAACTACTGCCACCTTGTGATCCTCTCTTGTTACATAATTTTGGTGAAGGCTCAGGGTATTTTATTAAAAATAAAGTAGTGGGTGGGAGAGGAAGAGAGAAAATAAGCAAAGGCAAGTTTGAAGTTAAGGAGTGTCCTGCACAGAGCTCAGGGGCACCGGGAAGGACCTTAGCAGGTGGGGAAGAAAGGGAGACAGGAAAGTGTGAAGACATGGACAGACAAACTTGACATGGCATCATTTTATCTCAGGCCCTGATTTTATCTGCAAATGCTTATTGCCAGTTGTACAGATCTTTTGACCAGGTAGGTAAGGCAGTTTGACTAATGACATGGAGAATGTGGCTGTGAATTCATGCACGTCATCTAAAATCTTAGTGACCGATTCTTCCTATGTAGCTGAGTATTCCCAGACCTGTAAATACTTGACACCAATGGTTAGTAACTTTATAATTCAATTTTTGCCTACTTACACCATTGGGAAGGGCCTTGCAGTCTAGGGTTAAGACTTTAAAATTCTCCTTGGAACAATTAGTTTGCTGAATTAAGTAACTAACTTCATAATTCCATCCGGACACCACCTGAAACAATGTTGAATTGAACAGTTAAAGGGCAGTTTAAACATTATTCACTGTGTTATGAGGAACTTAGAATACTTCCTGGCATATTTCAAGTACTCAAAAATATAAACTCTTATTGGTAGACAAAAGTCATGACTGAATAAATATTGAGCACTTTATGACGCTCACACTCCTCAACACACACACACACACACACACACACACACACACACACACACACACACTCCTACACATCTGAAAGTAAAAAAAGCAGTATATAGGTGGAGTTACTGTATTTTTTAAAGAAAAATCTAGCAACATTTCCTCTGCCAAGCAACAGAAAAATAATGTCCTTTTGAATTTGTGAAATATTAATAATACTCATCTAAATGGTTAAAACACTTTGGAGCTAGAATGGCCTTTACTGATAAGTTCTCAGGTTCCCATACAGTCAGACAGTAAGTTTTGTGCTGCTTTATCTTAGGCTAGTCCCACCCCAATAGCTGTTATGAACATAATTGAGTAGAATATGTGTCTTGCATGAAGGGAAGTTGACTGGTCTATTAAAAGTATGGAATGTTACCGATTAAAATAAATCCTTTATAATTAGACACTGAAATACAAGGGACCCAATGAAAAGGCCAGAATTCCAAGTATTTCATTTATTTTAATGATATGAAAACTATAATTTAAAGAGTTCTCAGAAAGCTGTGCCAACTATTTGGATATTATTTAATATTTTGGAGCCATATTTGACTCATGATAGCTAAGTGATAATGTAATTTTTCTCAAAACCTTAATGGTAGAATGATCTTTTCATCTCACCATCTTTAAGAAAAACATGTATTTCTGACTACCCACCTCAGAGTCAGGGTTCTGATTAGCCACACTTTCCCCCTTTATATATTGCAGTTTCCGAATCACTTTGACTCAAGAGAAAGTTCTTTACCTCCTATGCCAGTCAGATGAGGACAAAAAGAGCTGCCTCACCACCGGTCATGGAATCATAGGTTTATTTTAGGCAATGAAACCCTAAACATAAAGATCCAACAAATTTTAACAATACTGTGAGAAATGAAAACTAACGCACAAACCTGTTTCTGTGCCTTTTTTACTTCTTTCAGAGCAAAGAGGTGGGAATGATCAGTGTGGTTGTTAAAATGTTGAATGGCATGTCTCAGAACAGGGTCCAAGTCAGGGCTGGCAGTGGATATGGGGTGTACACAGCCAAGGCATTCATACTTGGAGGTCACCACAGGGCCCTCGGCTTGACAAAGAAAGCGTAGGGAAAAGGGCAGTGTTAATGAGCAAAACCCACATTCAGATACATTGTTCTAAATAAGTAAGTTAATTTTGAAGATCCTGGTAAGTTAACTTTCTAGTAAATTCTAGTATGTATTAGAAAAAGAGAACAAAAGCCTGCTCTTTGTCAGAAGGAAAAAAAAAACACCTACCATTGAGTTAGGAACATCTTACGTGCATTCTATTGTGCATAATTATTTTAAATTTATTAAAAAATCACTGTAAATTATAGAAATAATATATAATTTATCCTCTTATAAAGAAGTATAACAATACAGATGTAGTATTATTTATTTTTCAGCGTTAAAGTCCTTGAAGCCTCATTCAGGATGTTTTGTATCAATTCATTTTAACAAACATGCATATATAATATTTTGCTCCTGCTGGAATATGTCAGGTGCTGAGCTAGCCTGTGTGGTTACATTAACTTGTTAGTTATGGTCACTGTGGTGTGTTGGTAAGCACAGGAGTCTTGGTTGGAAAGATGTAAGGAGGACATTATGATGAAAGAGAAGTGTGTGGAAGGCTACCTGCCTTGTTTGCTAGAATTTTGAAATAGGGGAGACATAGGGGAGTGTTGAAGGCAGTACCCCTAATGATGCTTTGACCTTTCCAAACAAGTCTGATCACATACAAACCCCAGGTTTCTGGAAGCTAATTCCAGCATGTCAGCAGAGCTGAATCATCTGGAATGGCTGAGGGCATTTTCCCAAACCTGAAAAGGTTGCATAAATGATTGTTTGCTGACAGACAGCTGAGGGCATTTCAATCTACATGTTATTGCCTCTTACTGGCCAAACACCTGAATAGCTGAAGGCAAATTCTTCCAATCTGGCAATGGATTCCATACACTAAACCCTGGCCTTTGACATGCATATCTACTTTGCCTTAGGACAATTTGTGTTAATAAAAAGCAAGGGGTCCAGAGAGACAAGAGAACTCGGAGAACTTGGTTTCTTTAGCCAAGCTCTTCTGAACCCTTAAATGCCTTCCAAAATAATGTTTCATCTCTGGATTCTTGATTAATTTACACACAGTGCCTTCTTCAGATTACTGAAGCCCTTCTAGATGCTGGATTAAGAACCCCGGCATCAGGTGTTTATTGGAATCCTTATGCTTAATTCCTGGATGCTCTTGCCTAGAGGACAATGTAAACACATGTGTCCTCCCAAGATTACTCACTCTATTGATTGTATCCAAAGATAAAAACTGCAATAAGCTGAGACCATTTTGGCTCAATGGATAGAGCATTGGCTTGTGGACTGAAGGGTCCCAGGTTTGATTCTGGTCAAGGGCATGTACCTTGGTTGCGGGCATATCCCCAGTAGGGGTGTGCAAGAGGCAGCTGATCAATGACTCTCATCGATGTTTCTAACTATCTCTCTCTCTTCCTCTCTGTACAAAATCAATAAAATATATTTTAAAATAAATAAATAAATAAATAAATAAATAAATAAGTAAATAACTGCAATAAAAGGCTAACAGGGCAGGCAATCCAGGCTGCTATGGCCCCAAGAGCAAGAAGCCCCTTAGCCCAGTCTTTTACAGTCAAACTGTGTCTGAGTAATCAGTTCAGTCCTAATTTCAGGGCTGCTGGTCAGCCCTGGAAGTGGTGAAGGTGTTGGGCAAAGTTGAGTAGGAGAGACGGAACTACAGATGAATATTTCAAAATAATTCAGCAAGAGCTTGGAAAGGCAGGAGCCCAGAGTGAGCTCTAGAAAGACTTTCCTGAGGAGAAGACGCTTGAGCTAACAAGGGTGTAAAGCAGTCAAGGCCAACTGGGTAACATAAAGTGTGAGCCTGAGAAGAAGGAGCAAAGGGAGGAATGGCTCTCAAGAAAGCAAGAGTCAGGGCAACATGTGAGATGTGGCATATACTTTTTACCATGACTTAAAGGGGGCAGGGACTGGTGATTGAGGTCTGGGCAATTGGTAGAGAGAGTTCCTTGTTGTGGAGTCCAGGCTTCTCTCCAGAGGCCAGGGGTTATGAACTATATTCCAAGGTTCATGAGCTCCTTGGTGAACCTGATGAAAACCATGGCACTCTCTCCAGGAAAATGCTGGTATTCACAACGTTCTCTAATTTCAGGGTGTGCAGAGACCCACTGAAGTGAATGAAGAGTGGTCGGCAGTAAAGATGGGGTGCCACTGAGGGGGTTTTAATAAAATAATGTACAATATTAAAACAGGAGTGAGCTTGTATTAAGTTACCAAGTAATGTTTATAATAGATAAGCCTTAACTCACTGGTCAGTAGAGGCAGCTCTGACTAGGAAAAGAGGAGCTATGGAGCAGTCTTTTGAGGATGAGAGGAGTAGGGAAATATGCAAATTCAATTATTCCAGGCAAAGGGATGATTTTTCATTGTGCTCCAACATTTCTGGGGATATTTAAAAAAATTTTTAAAAACAATTTTAAAATTTTTTTTGCCAAAACTTTTCAAATAAGGGATTGTGGACCTAGTAGTAATTGTGGATCTAGAACATGTGGCAAAGAGCTTTTTCTCACCTAGTACATAAGTGCTGTGTTCTGGATCAAGTGAAAATTTGCTTATGAGCTAAAGTTCTTAAACTGAATAATGAAAAGCTACTCCACAATTATTTTTTTTTTAATTTTCTGCTTTGGACTGTTTTTTTTTTAAAATGCCACTTCTTGCAAGAGTTGAAACTTAAGAAATGTAGTTTTCTTTATGGATGACTAAGGTCAATATAGACAATTGTTCCTTCATTGACATTCATGAGCGTGGCTGAAGATGCTGTTCTGGAGTCTCCTATGCTAAAACCCTATCTTGCAAAAAGCCAAATGAGTTGGCTTTTGTGATTGACATTCCCTAGATGTGCCCATTCTTCTGCACCCAGCCACTGTGCCACCAGAGGGAAGGACTAATAGTGGTTATATCTCTGCATAAATTGCTCCATTCTTATGAGGTCTACTATACTATTCTGCTATTTGCTAGCTGTGGGATATTAGGCAAGATATTTAACTGTGGTGGGCCTCAGTTTCCTCATTTGTAAAATGAGAATATTAACCCTTGCCTCATAGACTTTGTTGTGAGGATTAAATAAACCAACACATGTAAAACGATTAGCACTGTGGCTAGCAATAAGTGCTCAATAAATACCAACTATGATTACTTTTATTCTGATGATGAATACATTCTTATGCTTGTAACTTCAAGCCTGCCATCTAGTTTCAGTCTACAATAACCCTCTGCAATGAGAATTACTATGATCCTCTTTTAAGGGAAACAAAAAAGTGAAGTGCTTTTGAAGGATTGCAGGCCAGATCTGACCTCAAATCCTATGCTTTTCTGGCCCTAGGACACCCTCACAATTGAGATATATGGCATGTTTTCTAGTCCTTTCCCAGAGCCTTTGCACACCCCTAATTGAGCACTGCTGTCCAGGGAGAGTCCAGGGGATGATTGGCAGGAGCCTGGCCTCACCTCAGAACTCTGTCACCACAGACCTCAACCCCCATCAAGGCTGCAAATGGCCTTGTGCAGCCACCCACTACCCTCTGGGAAGGGGATTTGTCCAGGTTATGTTCCTGGCCCCACAGGGAAATGGTTCATTTCCCCCCAGGGCAGCGCCACCCTATATATCAGCTACCTGGAGTAATGTGACAGGTCTGGGAAGCTACGGAGAATTTCATATTTGGTCTCTTCCCTATGGTTGCTGTGCATTCTCCTGTGGCCTAGAAAGAAAGAAAAAGGAGACCATTTATGTTAATCTTTCAGATGGAGAAGTGCACTTAGGGCTGTAGGCTTTTCTCTTATTTAAAACTTAAGATTCTTTTCTAACGGAGATTTGAGTCACAAAAATGAATGTTTTTGTAGCCTAATCATTATTATTTACAACTTATTGATATTCATGAGATGTCAGGAGGAGAGGCAGTGTAGATAGTAAGATTTAAAATAATGTTATGTTTGGAGCACAGGAGATATTTCTTTTTCACCAAGGTGAACACAGTGCCCTAAAACTAGCCTGCCAGAATCTCCTCTTACAGTTCATCTTTAGGGTTCAACTGCACAGAGGTTGTGGAGTTTTTGATACCATGGTAATACCCAGTTATTCACTGAAAAGGAGCAAAGGGAAGACCAAATAGACACAGTAAAGTCTGGGTGAGGTAGGGAAGGTACTTGTCTGTCAGTCACACCTGGGAACATAGCTGGTGTGGCAACTGCAAGCACGGGAAGATTTCAGATATTAAACTCCTAAACAAAGCTCTCTCTCTCTTGCCTCTCTTGCTCACTGGGGCTCCTGGCTCTCTTGTTGCAGAGGACACACTCCTCTGCATGCTCCCACATGGCCCACAGCCATATTTCACTCCCCCAAAAACACAATGGACTAATGACAGGAACTAGATTGATGCTGTGCTGAAACCTTATATAAAAACTGCTTTTTGAAATTTAACCCTGCTATTTGGGTTCTGTAAATTCTTGCTTGCTAAGACTACTCCCACTTCAGAGAGGCCATTAAACCTTCCCCAGACAAGGTAATCAGTGCTGGTGCCAGAGTAGGCCTCTGGTTAAGGTCTCAAGGCCAGCACATACGGGCTCTTTAAGAACTTGAAAAAGGGGCCGGAAACACCCTATATTTGGGAGACAAAGAAGGTAAAAACATATAAATTGGGGAAATTCCTGCATGTTGGGGCCCAGAATTTGAGAAACATCTGGACCCATGAGCAATAAATGTAACTCCATCTCTCTAAGTATTGCTTTGTTCTTTGTGTAACAGTGCCTGACCCAGTTCCACCATGAAATGGAAACTTGGCACATTGGTTTGGCTTTTGGCTCTCTGAATCCCCAGCTTGCACCTCTTTTAGTACTGGTTTAAGGGAAATGGCACTTTAGAAATGCAGATGTATAATTCCACACAAATAAAGATCTCTCATCTTCCTGTGTGAGTCATAGAAAATTCTTTTTCTCAAGATATCATGAGGACCGGACTGCCATCATCCAGTGGAAAAAGGAATCCCCCACTTCCCACCAGTGGACACTCCATTTCCACCAATAACATTTTCACACATTAAAGAGGTGAGTCCATGGACTCTGGAAAGAGTGGCTTGCTTTCTGGCAGATACTGGCTGTTAGCTTCCACAGGTAAGGGCAAATAACCAGCTATGGTGTAGCAAGCAGATGTTAGGCGTTTGGATAGAGACCTTGTTAATAAAACAAGATCTTTTCATATGTATTTCCTTTCATCTTTCAATTTAGGTCAACTTTACCACCCTCTTACAAGGGAGCACATGGGTTAAAAGTGGTCAGCTAATTAGAGAATTCCAACTCAGGTCTGCATAAAGCACCCAGTTGGTCATAAGAGTCCCCTCTTCATGGGAGGGTTTTCTTCACATCTTGTGGCTGGCATCTCATGCCCTCTCTGTCTATGCAAGAACATAGACATCAACCATTTGACTTTTGTACACATATGAGGGTTTATGTGTACCCCTCACAAACAGGTTCAATAGTACTCATCACCCCCCAGCTCTAATAGAATAATTTAAAAATCTTGATTGAGAAAACTGGAAGCTCTGGACCATCATACTTACAGCTTGCCCAAGTTCTTTGTAGTCACACTCCTGCCAGGTTTTGTTACTTTTAACAGAACAGTCACCCTCCTTGATGTCATACTTGATAGAATAAAATATGTTCTGTTCTTCCTGGAAAAAAATAAAGCAATCAAAGATACATAGGGCTTATTTAATTGACAACAGCAGACCATTGGAGAGGGATCTGGTCCAGTTATGAACATTTAATATTGATTTAATTCAACAAGAGCAAATCATTTACTAAATATACTAAAAGTCATAAATAGTTGAAAGAATGTTCACATTTTATTTATAAACATGTATTTTCCAGTAACAAAGTAGTATATGTAGTATTAGCCTATTTTTGTAGGGACATTTGTAATTTTAAAAGCCTAAAAATTATACAGCAAAGCTGTTAACATGTTGTGTCTCAGTGGTGGATGTAAGGTTATCTTTTACTCTCTTCTTTAAACGAACATTCCTAAATTGTCTGAGTATTTTTTTAAACCAAATATATATTACTTTTACAATTAGAAAACTAACAAACAAGAGTACTTTCTTTTTCTTTTTCTTTTTTTAAATATATTTTATTGATTTTTTTACAGAGAGTAAGAGAAAAGGATAGAGAGTTAGAAACATCAATGAAAGAGAATCATAGATCAGCTGCCTCTTGCACACCCCTTACTGGGGATGTGCCCACAACCAAGGTACATGCCCTTGACCAGAATCGAATCTGGGACCTTTCAGTCTGCAGGCCGAAGCTCTATCCACTGAGCCAAACTGGTTTCGGCAAGAGTACTTTCTTTTTCATATATATATATATATATATATATATATATATATATATCAGGTATCTCTGGATGATGAGATTTTTGTTATGGGTAATTTTAGTAATCTTATTTTTTTGTCTAACGTGTCCTAAAATAACAAATAAAACTTTAAAGCTCAAAGGTTCTGAATTAGATGAGCTTTTAGATGCAAAATCCTGGCATGTTGGAGCAGCATGAGACCTGAGAGGTGATGTTACCTAGTCCCTCACTTTGCAAGTGAAAGGAGGCCCAAGGAGAGAGGGCAGAACTTAGGCAGCCTCCCACATTGGAAAGGCAAAGCCAACTCAGACCCGGGTCTTCAGTGTAGGGGCAAAGCTCTCTCAGCATCTGGGAGATGATGGAGTCAAACATGACAGTTCTGAGGTTTGTTTCAGGTCTCAGATTTTGATAAAACGGTAGGTGATAGTAATTCTGTGGATATTTTAGGGGCGAAAAATGCCCTATGGGCCTAGCCATTGGTCACAGACAACAGGGAGATGGGGGCATACGAGGGGAGGGGTTTGGGATGGGAATGGGGAGATTAGGATAAATATGTGATACCTCAATAAAATTTTTAAAAATACCCAACAACAGCACATTTGCCACAGATGTCAGTCAGTCAATCAATGACAACAGCAATAAAACATTGCCGAGGGCACCAGGACTTATGACTACACTAGCCTGTAAAACAGAATTGCTTAATGAAAAATAAAATAAATAAAATAAAATACCCTATGGCCTTTTTTCTTTAATCTCATAATGTAAGATGGATGAATTTTTTTCTCCCATTGAAGTAAACTATCACAGAGACATAGTGAAATTCATTTGAACAAACTATTGAAAGCTTGTATTTTTTTAACTTTGCTTTTTTCTTCCTTTAAAAATAATTTATTTTCTTTTGCATGACACAAGACTTCTAGTTTTTAAACAGGGTACTTCAAAAACAAAAATATCCCCCCTGTTTCCCATCTTTATTTTCATCAATGCAAGAAATCCTTCTGGAATATCAACATGTGATTAAATAGATATCCAACCATTGAATCTAAAAGTTAATACATATTCTGTTATGGCAAAATAGCCAAGAATTTTCCCCAAAGAAAGATTTTAATTTTCTAAATATGAAAGGGTTTAAGAGGATCATATGCGAACAAACAAAAATCTCTTATGCCAAGTTTTTTAGGCTAAAGTTGGATAGCACACTGGCAGCTGAAGAAATCTGAAGCTATAAATAGATCCAAATGAAGTATTTCTACATTTCTTTAGAAAACTGAACCAAAATTCCTATTTTAAAAATGACCCTGTGGAATGGCTTTGCTTCCATACTTATCTAATATTGTAACAGTAAAACAGATACAAGAACGTTGATGACAGCTCAACAATGCTGGATACAGGACATTTACATGTGCACTTTTATTTAAAAGTCCCACATGTTTATTGACTAAGGTTAGACAGCAAGTCATGTGATCCTATTGGATGCTTTTTCTACATGTCCAAGATCATTATATGGATACATCCAAAGATTGGGCCCCAACTTTCAGGAAAAAGACCACAAAGAAGAAAATCAGGGTAGTTATTTAGTTCCCCTAGTTAATTGTTTGAACTGGAACAATAAAAGGTAGAAAACACAGACTTCAATGGATTAAAGAAGTTGGAAACAGTTGGTGGAAAGAGGTATGGTATATAAGTAAGGTCATTGGGCTTGGGATGTCAAGAACAGTGCAAAAAAGAGCATCCATGGGACCACATATTTATAATGTCCTGTAGTGTCACTCCCTCAACGATGTTAGGACGTCTGTTATTAATCATAAGTAGATCAGTTATGCAATAAGGCAATGTGTCAAATATGCATTCGTCCTGTGGAATGAAACACCACAGAGATACATAATACCATACACATTCTTAGATTGTGTCTGATTGGCTTGTTTTCAAAGCTACCCAGACAAACTCTTCGTGGAGATGTCCTTGAAGAGAAGAGTGGTATGCTGAGCCCAGTTTGCTTAATCTTTCCTATTTTAAGATATGATGTTGACTTTAAAGAGAAATAAAGCTAAAGGCTGTTTGAATTTTATTTTTTTCCCCTTTCAGTTGCAGAGTTCTGAATGTTTTCACATAAACAACAACAAAAAAATCACAACTAAACCCTCCCTCTCACCCTCCTCCCTCCTCCCCCGCACCCCAATCTAATAGTTTTGAGACATCCAGTTGTATTTCTTGGAATCACACATTCTGTCAGGATTTATCTTCTACCTGAGTGTATCCATCAGTGATAAGGAATATTCAAAATCAACTAGAACATTGCTGTTACCCTTAGTGCATTCAGCCATCAGGACTTCATGGTATATATTTTATCTAATATAGTAGAACTATAGTAATTTCTTTTCTGACTCGTCTTGACATACCCACTGTCCCTCATTTACCCTAGTTTTATTGAAGTGTATTTATTGAGGTATAATAAATCACATATATTTATGATATACAAAAAATGATTTGCTATATGTTTACACTGTGAAATGATTACCACAAATAAGATAATTAACACATTGTCACCTCACATAATTACCTGTTTTGTGTGTGTGGTAAGAACTCTTAAAATCTAACCCTTTAGCATATTTCAAACATACATTACAGTGGTATTAATTCTATTCACCATGCTGTACATTAGACCCCCAGGACCTACTCATCTTATTTCTTTAAAATATATTTTTATTTATTTCAAAGAGGAAGGGAAAAGGAGAGAGACATAGAAACATTAATGATGAGACAGAATCACTGATTGGCTGCTTCCTGCACAAACACCTCCCCCACCCCCACCAGGGATCAAGCCTGCAACCTGGACTTGTGCCCTGACCGGAAATTGAACCACCACCTCCTGGTTCATAGGTTGATGCTCAACCATTGAGCTAAGCAACCAGGCTCATTTCATAACTGAAAGTTTGAATCCTTAACAAACACCTCCCCATTCCTCCCATCCTACAGTCCCTGACAACAACCATTGTACTTTCTGCTTCTGTTAAGTTTTACATTTTTAGATTCCATTTATATATGAAATTATACAGTATGAGTTAGACATACCTCCTTAAACACCTCCTCCCATTTGAGGTCTGGAGGTCTTTATATTTCCGTTTAAAGCCGGTCATCCAGCAAATCCTCTTACTGAGGCCTGACTGAGTTCCTGGATTTTCCCACTCTACATAGTCCCTTTCAAATGACTCCATCTACCTTTCTTTAATTTCAGCCTAGGATACCTGTCCTCTGATCACCCAAGAGGCCAACCTTGGAGGTTTAAGGACTAGTCATACTCTCCACAAATCCCAACCCAGAGAGTGGGGTTGGTCTTTTCTAAGAGCTGTAAGCCTCTACTTTTAATTATTGGGGTTTTTTTGTGTGTGTGTGTGTGTGTGTGTGTGTGTGTGTGTGTGTGTGTGTGTGTGTCCTGGATTCAAGAGATAGCACCAATCCCAAATGACCGCAAGGTTAAACACAACTCACTCACCGTCTTGGTGACTTCCGTTACGCGGTACAATACAAACTGGTTGCCAGTTTTACTTCGACCATTGTATTTCTTCAGAGCTGCATCCACAGCCTTAAATACATCCTCATCATTGCAGTCAATTTCTTGTGGTTGATCCTCTTGAGCTAAACTTGTTAGCAGCGTGGAACAAAGGAAAAGGATGGCAATTAACTTCATGACTTATCAGTCTCCCTCTGGGAGTTTCACCAAGAATTGGAAGCTAGCTTGGAGGCTGATTTTAACTCTCTTTAGCCTCTTCTCTCTTCTGTCTCTCCTCTCTGCTTAACTTCCTACAGCCCTCCACTATTTGCCCTGTTACAAAAGGGCAAATGGCTCTGCTGGATTATCCAAGCAGATCTCAGGCCGGTACATTACAACATTGGGTCATTGACCTGCTTGTTTGCATTTGGAAGGCATGTGTGAGCACATTTCCGGGAAAGTGTACAACTTTGCATAGCAAATCAGAGTACAATCCAATAAAGGAGCAGGAAAAAAAATCAACCATCTGTTATTCTATTTCCCAAATGACTTTCCCAAAGCTATTTACGAAGGTCACTACATGTGACAACAATGCAACCATGAGCAGACACCTTTCAATAAAATTTCCTTGCCCTCATGGAGAGCCCATGCACAGGGACATAGTGAGTGCAGGGAGTCTCACACCAAGACACTGGCATGTCTGAAAATAAAAAACAGGCATCCTATCTGTTCTCTGTCCAAGCCAGCCTCTCTCCACTCAACTGGATCTGCTGTAGAAAGAAAAATGTTCCCCAGGGTGGAGGAGACAGGGGAGAAACTTAAGGAGAGCTGGTTTGAGTGAAGCTTGCTTACCCTGTCCTTCCTTCTTGTTTCTGGTTTGGTGGACTTTATAGGGGTCTTTCATTCACCACGCCTAAATGACCTTTCAGATCAAGTTAGACTATTCAGGAAGAGGAGATCTGAAGGTAGGTTAAAGATATTGGCTAGTAGATGCTTGGCTTCAAGTGTTACACTCTTCCCCCAAAAAAAGATGTTTGCTATTTTTGTTATTGGTGATCAGTTATCTAGCTTGGCAAGCCAATCTCTCTGAGAACCCCTGGAAAAGAGGGATCCATGGGGAATGAGTGATGGCCTTGTAGCAGAGTGACAGGAACATGAGCTTGGCAGCAAGCCCAACCTTGATTCCCATCCAGCTCTGCTACTTAACCTTTATGTGATCCAAAAGTGCTAAAAACATTTGAGTTGAAGCATCTGAAAAACATAATCAATAGCCTACAAGTCCAAGTAAAATCTACACTAACAAAATAGGAAGATGCAAATTGACCATACCTTCATGATGTCAACCAGCCAATCAGAGTGAGTATGTAAATTAATCCAACAAATATGACAGGTAATGGGGCACAGGCATTCCATACCACCCCAGCCACTCTGTGCCTCTAGACAGCATGGGAAAGCAGAAAGGCAGCTGTGGGCCAGAGCAAAGGTAGTGCCAGCAGCCAGGGGAAGGAAGCCCATTCTTTTAGGAATCTTCATGCATCGGGCCTCTAGTTTATAAATAAATTTATTTATATGGTTACAATGCCCAAATATTTTGTATCCTTGTGGGGGGAAAAGAAAAGAAAAGAGAGAGAATACCAAGCTATGGTTCAGTTTGAGACTTATTTATAGGTAAGTATGTTTATTACTATCAAATTTTAAAGACATGATTGAGTTATTTTGTATAAATATCAACAGTGATATAGAATCACTATCAAAAGTTGATGTTCAGCCCTAGCTATTTTGGTTCAGTGAATAGAACATCATCCTGTGAACTGAAAGGTCCCAGGTTCGATTCCAGTCAAGGGTACATGCCTGCGTTGTGAGCTCAATCTCCAGTGGGGAACTTGCGGGAGGCAGCCTATCCATGATTCTCTCTCATCATGGATGTTTCTATTTCTCTCTCCCAATTCCTTCCTCTCTGAAATCAATAAAAATATATTAAAATAATAATAATAAATGTTGATGTTCAAAACAATTACATAAATGGAAAAAGGTTGGTGGTCAGAAGAAGAATGTAAAGAAGAAAATATGTGTTACATATGAACAGGCAAGATTTATTTACTTAAAAATTCATATACAGAAGTACTCAAAACAAAGAAAGAAGATTATAAGTAATTGTGCAACAACACAAATAATGCAGCACTTTACCTCCCAGAGGATCTCTAAGTGCTTCACAGAACCCCCCATTTCTCTGAGAGATTGTCTAATAAATTCACTCACTTATATGCATAGAAATAACTTGTCAACCTTTGAAATTTCTCTCCTACAGGGATCAAGTTAACAAGTAGGAACTCATTTTCAAAAATTGTATCTTTGCAGGTAGAGATCATATGGAGTTGGCTTGCAGAATCCAGGAAGGCCGGTAGGAAATAATGCCTGGCAGAGGTAATATCAGCAGGAAGGACACCCAGGTTCCTAGAACAGGTTTTCTGTGGGGACCCTCCCCCTCCAGACCTCTCCTCACCCCCCGTAGGCATCCTCAGTGAAGCTGCTCATCCAAGCACTTGTCCTATCAGTCAAGTCTTTTGAGTCCCTGTTTTAAGTCGGACAGTTCATCCTTTACTGTTTTACCCTTCCTCCTAAAAATGTCCTAAGGCTTTTCAGATCAGCTTTATATTTCATTTTGAACTTAAAGCCCTCTTACCGAGGTGTGGCTGGATAAAATGGCCACGAGGACTTAAATTCATGAACATTGACTTCTATAGCAGTGTGCTTATGTGTCACTGATGTTGAAAAGGCAAATAAAATGAACTTTTGATGTAAAGCATTTTATCATGGTATTTATATATTTTTTTCTAGGAAATGAAACTAAGGATGAAAAAGACCCGGGTAAGTTCTTAGACTTGAAATTGAGACCCACAAAGATGGAGAAGCTGAGGGAGGGAGAGGGAGGAGATGACTCATGTGCAGGGTCCAGGAGGAGTTGGAAAGGAGCACAGGGATGATCAGGGTGGGTGTTTCAAGTGAAGATTCAGAAACAGGACTTGCCAGTGTATACAGGTGGCATAATAAACAGGAAAGTATGTGACTTGGAGGAGACTGATCTGGGTTCTAATCCCAGGCCCAATTTTCTGACAATAACAAACACTTTTTAGCTATTGTGTAATAAAACAAATATAGAGAAGGAGCAATCAATGGTATTTTGTCTAAATCTCTAGTACAATGTAAGCTAACTAGAGTAGGGATGATTTCTTACCCCATTATTCGGCTGCAGCAACTGTGTTTGCATATTATAAATGCATTCAATGGACATAAATTGGGGACATTCAATCCCTTGTTTTCTAGGTACTATTTTCAATAGTTCAGGCAATATTTGTGAATATTATAAATTAGAAAACACTACTGAAATGCTCCTGTGAGTTATTGAGGTATGCATTTAAAAAAAATTTTTTTTTTGTCTTGGATTTCACCTTTCTTTACTCTCTATCTAAGCAGCCAACCCTGTGTTCATGCTTCTGGAGGAATGTGATTTTGCAGAGCAGACATTTGGCTGGAACCTTCCTGGTTGTTTACAACAGGTGACCATTCTAACTGGCTGTTATACCAACTCTGTTGGTCAGAGCTGGTGTCATTTTGGTTATTAAATATTTCTGATAACATTGTAAGGTTTCAGGAAATAATATCTAGCTCTACTCTAGTTAGAAAAGGGAAATGGAATGCCTCCATCACAATTTTTTACAAGAGGAAAATAGGGCCCAAAGAGGTTTAATGACTTTCTTAGGATCTTATAGTCAATAACTTGTAGTACTGGGATTAGAACTAGGATGGGCCTTCTTCAAAGTCACATAATTTTCCATTTTCTTATGCTGCCTGAATCCATTGCCAGATTCTAATTTTATTAAGAAACTAGAGGCCTGGTGCATGAAATTCATGCATGGGGGTTTGGGGCGTGGGTAGGTTGTCCTTCAGCCCATCCTGCACCCTTTCCAATCTGGGAACCCTCAAGGGATGTCAGACTGTCCATTTAGGCCAGATCCTACCAGGATCAAGCCTAAACAGGCACTTGGGACATCTCTCACAATCCAGGACTGCTGACTCCCAACTGCTTGCCTGCCTTTCTGATTGCCCGAACTGCTTCTCCCTACCAGCGTGATTGATGCCTAACTGCTCCCCTGCCAGCCTGTTTGCCCCTAACTACACTCCCCTGAAGGCCTGGTCACCCCTAACTGCCCTCCCCTTGCAGGCCTGGTCCCTCCCAACTGCCCTCTCATGCTGGCCATCTTGTATCCACATGGGGGCAGTCATCTTTGACCACATTGGGGCAGCCATCTTGTGTGTTGGAATGATGGTCAATTTGCATATTATTTTTTTATTAGATAGGATAAAGTCCTGGTACATGAGTGGGGGCCAGCTGTTTTGTTCTGAAGGGTATCCAGCATCAAGGTGGGGGATCCCTTGGGGTGTGGGGCAGCCTGGGTGAGGAGCCTGTAGTGGTTTGCATGCTGGCCACACACACCCAGTGACCCAAGCAGAGGCTCTGGTATCTGGGATTTATTTATCTTCTATAATTGAAACTTTGTAGCCTTAAGTGGAGCCAAGGCAGGCTACAGTGGGCAGGAAGCTTGGCTTCCTCCATTGCAAGGGAAACCCAAGCCTTCAGCTCTCTCCGTGGCTGCAGCCATATTGGTTGAGTTAATTTGCATACTCACTTCTGATTGGCTGGTGGGCATGGCTTGTGGGTATAGCAGAGGTATGGTCAATTTGCATGTTACTCTTTTATTAGATAGGACTAGAGCTTGGTTGATGAAATTCATGCATGGGGGTGTGTCCCTCAGCCCAGCCTGTTCCATCTCCAATCTGGGACCCCTATTGGGATCTGGCCTAAACGGGCAGTCAGATATCCCTCTCACAATACAGGACTGCTGGCTCCCAACTGCTTGCCTGCCTGCCTTCCTGATTGCCCCTAATCACTTTTGCCTGCCAGCCTGATCACCCCCTAACCACTCCCCGGCCAGAATGATTGATGCCTAACTGCTCTCCTGCCAGCTGATTGCTCCTAACTGCTCTCTTGGTCACCCCTAACTTCCCTCCCTTACAGGCCTGGTCACCCCTATTTGCCTTCCCCTGCAGGCCGGTTACTCCCAACTTCCCTCCCGTGCAAGCCATCTTGTGACAGCCACCTTGTGTCCACATGGGGGCAGCCATCTCACCACATGGGG